AACAATGTGTATCAGTAAGTAAAATATATGATACCCCAGCACTGCAATATGTAATCAAGAGCATCAGATTCCTGAGTGCCCAACATGTGACTCTTCAACATTGACATAAGAACCTTCCAGAAACCCAATGTGGAGGCAAAATCATACTCATTATAGCTGCTTGCAAGTATGTATTGAATTGTTAATCAACTTAACGACTTGGTCTCTGGTTCAGAGGCAAATTTGGAACATCTAAACTTGAGATGGTTCATACTAAAGCATCAGAATTGCAACGAAACTATGGTATCCTCATAGTCACTATGAAGAAAGCTGTAATAAGAAACTAGGAGTGCCTGAAGAGTGTCAACAGCCCAAGCATCTCAGGTGCACATGTCAAAAATCTACAGTCCGAAGTAACTGATAATTCTGCAGGATAAGAGGATGAATGATGTAGTGATGTACCCATAATGAAAATAGTATATGCAAAATAATGACAATAACACTAGTATAAGAGGTGAAGTATGATATCAAACTCTTAACATGTGAGCGATAATTATTATTAAGTTACAACTTAATAATGGAATTTAAGTCTTGGTTAGTAAATTAGGGTTCACTACTTCCACGATGATGGAATCACAGGATCCTAATTTAGTTACTGCAATATAGTGCACGTGTGTTGCATGTGGAAATAATTGTCTCACGTTAATGAAAAAATTTTCGTAGTATGAAATTGCAAAGTCAATTGGAATATGAATCACATTCTTTGACATAATCTTAATGGCTAAATACAGAACCAACCCCGCCCCCCCCAAACACACACACACACACACACACACACACACATATATATACCTCCCTCAAATTTTCCTTATTCCAGTAAAAAAACCCTGAACGTTAGTAGTTATTGTACAAAACCCCTGTAAACCTTTTTATTCCACTAGATTCACATGAAAATTTCTCATTTAATCTCACAGATTAGCGTCATCGATTCTAATATCTCATGTGGCAAATATGTGCCAAGAAGAAGTTAAAAAATAATCCCTTAGTCTCAAAAAGTTACGTATTTTTCCTTTTAAATAAAAGGTATATTTTGAGACTAAGAAGGAACTTTCGTATTCCCACGTCGCAATAGAATGATAAAGGATCATAATAGTTTCATGCCTCGATAGACCTCAAAAGGTGATGGATGATACAACTAAACATGCACGGTGGCAAATATTCATAAAACTTAAACAACAGAAGGGAACAGACCAGCAGAAGCTTGCGCCTGGAAATACCGAGCCTTTCCCTTTGACCTGAAGACAGTCTCCACCCCATTCCTCACCCGAGCAATCCCAACTCCCATGTCGACCAATCTTAAACACGATCCTCCGCAACCAAATCCAGCGTCTGGCATCAAAAGATCATTTCTCCGGAAACCAGCTTTCTTGAGTTGACCAAGACTCGCTGATACTCTCGCTCTGCTCCTCAGATCAGGGGCAGCTATGTTTCCTTTAGCAGCAGCGACTGAAGCAGCTTGCATTTTTTATCCCACTCAATTTCCTGGAATTTCCATTGGAGTGCAATAAAATATCATTTCCAACCTCAATCGAAGCGAAAATAGTTGGAATTTCCAAAGAGAATGAAGTCCGAATCTATACATTTTAGAACCAAAACAGTAGAAAATGACTGGAACATTCGACCTAAAGATTAACCGATTCAAAGTTTCTAATAAAGTTGAACAAAGCTATTTTAAACCCCGACTAAAGCGAAAAGATGAGTGATCCTGTAGAATACGAAGTCCAAATAATAAAAAAAGGGACCTTTATCCGGCTAAATAAACGAACTGGTTAAAAAATTCAAACGTCACATTTTCGAATCTTAATCTAGATCTCGACTTTCGATATCAAAAAAATTTCAAAACCGCTCCAAAATTCCAAACTTCAACCGAAGAAAAAAAAGAATCAAAAATTAGAGATTGTAATGATCGATCGAGGCAGAGTTCGATCGAAAGAGACCTCGTAATTCGCTAAGTCTCGGCTGTTTCTTTGCTCTGAAGCGATCCTTCTCATCAAAGAGAGAGAGAGTATAAATAGCGATCGCTTCGTTCTCTCCGACGATTTCTAGAGAGAGAAAGAGATCGTTTTAGAGAGAGAGAGAGTTTACAGCGGAGAGGCCCAGGTCCCGGCTTCGAGTCCACACCGTGCGTTTCTGTCGTCACCTCGGAGGCGACTACGAAAGGATAGAGTTAACAGCAAATGGATACGTGGCGCTTTTTTAGACGTCTTTATGGGGCTTGGCGTTTGAAGCGTATACTGGATTCTGTGGATATTGCCGGCGGATCTCAATTTGATTTTCGGGTTTTTAAGATTGTAGTCCCTCACGTCGTTAATAATTTCATATTTTGGTCTATCACGTCTATAAAATTGCTCGTAAGTCCCTTAAATCCTGAGGGGTATTGCAATTTGTTCCCTCACTGACTAGTTTACGATTTTAGGGGTTGTTTGGTTGACAAGCAATGTATTTATGGAGATTTTTAAAAGGATAGAAATGAAGTTGCTAATATAAATAGAGTAACCAGATTTTTATTTAATGATATATTTATTGTCGTTTGACTTGGTAATTGGAGACGGTAAATAAACTTGTCATTTGTAGCTGGAAAAAATCTTGCAATCATGTTATGGCCAATTTGGTGGGAAGAAAAAAATGCAACCTTCAAAAAAGAGAATTAAAAAAATAATTCAACCTCATCAAAAAATATTTTTAAATCCAAACAAAAAACCCTCTAACCAGCCCCTGTTAGATAAAATGTCCAAGAAACTATCCTTGTGGAGAAGTAAGCTACTCCCCATTGGATGTAGATTGACCCTAATCAACTCTGCCTTAACTTATCTTTCCCTTATACTATCCGTCGTTGTTTAAACTTTGCTCATGGCTTATTAAGGCAAAAGACAGGATTAAAAGGAACATCTTATGGGGGTGGCAAATGCTCTAACTCTCCATGTAAGCCTCTGGTCAAATGGAGTTTGATTTGTAAACCTAAAAAGAAGGGGGTTTGGGTATTATCAACCTCTATGATTTCAATCTTGCTTCATTTCCAAATGGATGTGGAAGGTAATTCAAAATGAGTCATTTCTAGGCAACATCCTCACTTCTTCGTATTCTTCCCACTTCCCAAACCCTAGTTGCACGCCACCAAGCCAATCAGCCTCTAAATTCTGGCGGGATATATTTTGTAGCGGTCAAGCTTTTAGGGGTCTAGTCCAATGAAAATTAGGCAAAGGGTCATGTATGAGATTCTGGGAGGATAAATGGATAGGTCCCAATACCCACGCATCTCTGCTCCCCTAGGCCTGCAAGCTTTACCTCTCGGGCAATGTCAGTGTTAGATCTCAAGGGATTCTCCACAACAATCATTGGAGATAGCAACTATTGATTAGAAGGCCAATCACCAACATTGAAAAATCTAAGGTTTATGCTCTTAGATATTATCTCTCTAATCTTACTTCACAACCTACCAATGTCAATGATGTGGCATGGTGGTCATACCATCCTTCTGGTTCCTTCATTGCCCAATCTATATATACCTTCATCAATAGCTCAGGAATTTCATTCAAATGATATAATTTTATTTGGAACTCTATTATCCCACTTAAAGTGAGTTTTTCTCTGGATCCTAAAGAAGAGAAAACTTAACACTAAGGAGATTCTAAGATAAAAAGGTTGGACTGGAGACACTATTTGCTCCTTTTGCAATGAAACCCCTAAAAGTGATGAACACATGTTCTTTAATTTCTCCTATGTGAAACTGGTCTGGGCCTTCTTCTTGTCATTTCTTAAGATCTCTTATCTACCACCTGAGTTTAGCGACATTATGGAATCGAATGGTTTTTTCTGGTGGATAAATAAGATAGATTCCTATGGCCTATTCTTTTTCCATCTCATGTTGGTGCTTATGAAGAGCAATGAACAATCTTATTTTCAAAGAGCTCTCCCCGTCCTTCGGTATCTAATATCACTCATTTCATAATGTTATGGACCAGTAACCTTGCATCTAAGAGAGTTGCCACAGTTCAGAAACTAGTGGCCGAGAGGGATTAGTCCAGCTGCTACTGCAAGATGACTCTTCATCCCACAACATGGCTCGAGTGGACGATAAATTCTGAGGAGTCAACATGATGATCAAACTCTCTTTTGTAATTACTTGACTACATATACTATTTTAACTTTTATGTTGGCTTTGATGTAAGTATGAGCTCTGTTATAGTTCTAAACAATGTATTCTCTCCCTCCTACCCTTTTTCTAGAACTGTTTAGTCTAAGTTCTTTTCTTCAAATTTCTCTTTACTATGTAATAGTAGCGGCTATGGTCCTCTACCTATTCTTGGAAAAGAATTATTTGTTCTCATTAGTACTCAGACTATTCACTTCTAGGTTAAGATAGGTTTTTAGTGATTTATGATATATGAACAGAGTATCTCATCCTATTTCTTATTGTAAAAAAAAGTTTCCTTATAAGTTAAAATTTATAGGTTTTGGCTAATTGTTTTTCAACCAAACATTAAAGGCACATCTAAATATACATTTGCTACAATATAATTGTAGATATCCAAACATCAATTTTGATTTGACTGTCTGCAACAAATTATGCATGCAACATTTGTTATGCAACATTTGCTGCAAATTATTTTTGCAGCAAACCAAATAGCCCCTATTTTCACAAGTTTTCCTACCAAATTTATATTTTTGATATTTTGTTTTACAATAAGGTTGTTGTAGATGGTAATTAGGTTTATATTTTGTAAAAAAAAAAACTTACTACATTTACCTTAGCCAAATTGGCAACAACAAATGTTGCAAGTTCATGCATCAACTACAAAATAAAATATAAGTTATTGACACATCATCAATTATTGGATTTTGACTAGGGCTATTTGGTTCGTTTCCTAGATATAGGGAAATGCATTTCCATGTACAAAAACACAAGTTTTGAGTTTTTTAAACTTTTTCAAGAAATAGATTGTTTTGCTTTGGTTCGCACAAAAAATGGTGGGAAACCAATGTATTTATTTTTCTTGTGTTTGGTTCGCATGGAAAAAAATAGAAATTTTTTGTTTATATGGCAAAAAGCTGACGTGGCTGCAGTTTTCGTCGATTTCACGAGGTTGAGGAAGGAATTGGGGGAGAGAAAAAATCTGATGTGGCGGCGATTTTCACCGAGTTTCCCTTCTTCAACCCTAGCGAACCAAAGATGGGAAAAAAACTAACGGAAAGCTTATATCCTACGTGGCCACGAAAAATCTGATGTGGAGGCGGTGTAAAACTTTTCCACCGAGTTAAAAAATGAACCAAACAGCCCCTAAACACCGTCAACCTTTTTACATTTGAAGAGAAACAAACTTGTGATTTGCAATGAAAATATATTTCCTACAACCAAAAAATATAAATCTAACAGGTTTTTTGAGTAACCAAATATTACATTTGTATATGAAAATACATTTACCACAATAAAAAGTGAAAACATTCAAACAAAGACTTTGAGGTTAATTTTCTATAACATATGATGCATGCAACATTTCCTGTATGCAATATTCGTTGCAACTATGGTTGCAGTGTACCAAATAGCCCCTTAACCACTCTCAAAATCAAAGCATCTAAGTTAGGGATATTTTGATTTATTGAGGGACCCAATTGCGTGACCCTTCTGGATATGAAAGACTTATGAGCAATTACAGAGATTCGAGAGACATATAAAATATTAAAGATTTGAGAGACTAATATATTAAAAATCTTTGGTTTTCACTTTTCACCTAAAGAGTTCATCCTCACGTCCGGTGCCCGTGTTTAGGAAGGAATAATGTAACGAAGAATAAATTACTTTCAGGGATTATCCATTTTCGTGAGAATAAATGCGGTTGACTTAAACAGGACCTAAACGGAAATGGATATCCTCGTAATTATCCATAAAGATATGGATATATACATAGTATACATAAGCTTATCCGTAGGAAGCTTCTCTTGTACGTGTGCCTATCCTATCGGCATCCCCACAACTTTGAGATTGGGATCCTCTACTAATGAATGAAAAATTCTCCAATGACTCAAAATATGGGACCAATAGGGGGGACAAGTGAAGTGTCCCCTTCCTATTGGATAATGAGTTGGTCATCATTAATGATGACCAACTCATTATCCAATATAAGGGAGACACCTTACTTGTCTCTCCTATTGGTCCCATATTTTGAGTCCCTGTAGCAAAGCTCATAAAATCTCCTAATATCTCCTAATTATAAGGAGATCCTGGCCTTTCATTTTCATCATGACCTTTCGTTTTCCCACCTTTCCTTGTGGGCCCCCTCCCAACTTTTCACAATTCCCATTAGAAAATATTAGTATTAGTAGAGGATCTCAATCCCACAACAGTTTGTGGGGGTTCTGTCAGTGCCATCCAATAGAAGCAAGAAAATACCGAAAATGACCTCCTACTGATAGGATCAACTCTTACATGACTCTTTTAAACTAGAAATGATAGGGGCACACCCCAAGTCACACCTCTAACCACACATCCCCCTCTCATTCGCTACAGTACTCCGGGCCCCACATGAGTTTTTAAAATTTAAAAACTCATGTGGGGCCCGGAGTACTGTAGCAAATGAGAGGGGAGGTGTGGTTGGAGGTGTGGTTTGGGGTGTGCCCCTAACACCACTCCTTTTAAACAGCACCGAGAACTTCAACCTATTTAGCCTTATAGTCATTATTTTTAATGTATCTCTGGTGATCTAGGCCAGAAATTTTCTTGGTTTACGCTTAATTAATTTTTTTGGCTGTGTTTAAGGCGGATAACCACCAATGAGAACTCAATAGACTGAAAACGTAACTATAAATATTAATGGATTAAATCATTTAAGTTAAGAGATTCTTAGAAATATCGTGTAAACATTAGGTATTGATATGATTTTGAGCTCAATTTGCAAAATTGCACCAAAGGATGCAACGTCGAGGGAACATTATAGAAACAGACAAATAAAAAAAACACAATAAAATCTTTATCCCGAGTATTTGAGTAACATAAACTAAGGAAGCCCTTTTTCTCAATATTCTGCTTCTTAAAATTAACGACTGTTAACAATCTAAATATTTTTACATATGCTAATTGAATTTGGATCATCTTGACTTCTTGTTTGACAATAGAAATATTGCTTTCAAACTCTCATTTTTTTTAATAGATAGATAGATCCTCAGCAGTAATGCTTTTAGAGGAAAGGAATTACTACAAACCTACCAAGAGTTTAGTTTTTCCTCTCCCTAATTTAATATCGTCCAAAAAACGAAAAAAAACTGTTCCTTTATGTATTTAGCAAATAGTCATTTCAAATACTATGTAAGTATGTAACTCTTGCCTCTCATTCTTATATTTCTATGAGGGCTAATCATAAATGGTAACAACCAATATTTATTGGAAAATATTTTCTAGACAGTAGTGAGGATTGATTGCACTCATGGTGGCAACTTCATCACAGCATCAACCAATCATCAACATATAGCATACAAAAACAAGTCAACTCTAACATCAAACAAGGCCAAGCAATGCTGATGATAAAATGGAAGTTAATTTGCCTTATGTGGAACATATTGAACATAAAATAATCCCTCCACCACAACAGCCCATCCACCAAATACCAAAGCGCCTGTACATACTGCCATCGCCCTTGCACAAACAAGATCTCCATCTAGATTCAAAAACAAACAACTTTACCAAACTTTTTCAGCATAAATCTACCACCATTTCGTCGATCAATTCGTGAAGTATGTCGCCCTGAATTCGTACTCCAGTCTCAAATGCTTCGATCTCACACACCGTCCAATTTAAATTCGATTCTTTCATTTCCTTTTCAATAAGATCATCCAAGCCTTTTCCAGCCAAATCCATCCATCCTTTTATCTCTACTTGAATTTCTCTCATCAAGCAGTCTCGGGTCAGGTATAAAGGCAATTTCAACCAACAGGAATGGGTGAATTTTGAGTCCAAGACTTCATTCGCACACTCGTATAGAAATTCACGGAGTTGGTTTCCTTCCTTTGGCTTGAAATCTAGAGAGAGAACATCTATAATGCTTTCTAGAGTATCGAGAAGAAATGAATCGAGAGAATACTTTGTCGAACCGTAGATGCTCTCAAATAGCAGTTCAGTATCTAAAACTGTTTCGCTGGCAGTGCTTAACTCAGTTTCGAGAATTTCAGCTTCGTGCTTGATTGGAGTTTTGTTGAGGGACTGACTGATATTTGAGGAGGACGCTGAATCTAAAAGATCGGAGTCCATATCCAATGACTTTGTATTGTTAAATGTTTCTGGCAAACCAAAATGTGTTTTGTTTCCTGGGGGCAAAATTAAAGCAGTGACATGTTAAACACAAAAAAGAAAACATATTCAACTGAAAAAACAAATTTAGCCAAGGAAATGAAACTTCACTAGAGGGCCAAATTCCTTTTTTTCCCCGTCTCTTTTTTAATTTGGTTTGCATAAAAACTACAGCATGTCTTAAACAAGTTCAGCCAAATTAATTCTAAAAGGTAATATGTGCAGAAAATTAGTCCGAGAGAAAGATGTGACTAAGGAACAAAAAAATATAATAATAATAAAAAGAACAAGTTGCATCAAAAGAACAAAGCGGAAAACATTTATGATCAATAAATATTGATCATTCAATAAGAAAGAAATAAGGGGAAAATACTGGTCATGTAATGGTTTGGTCTCACTTTTCGCACGCACCTGAACTTTCATTAAAACTCCCCAGTGAGCAACTGTCGTTTGAGAAAGATGCCTCAAGAACTGATACTGGACTTGGCTGTTCACTGACACCAGCCAACTGATCTACAGTAATGTCATGTTGGGTTTCCTCCTGAAGAATATGAAGTGGAAAATTTTTCTATTAAAGGAAAATTCATAAGTGCTCCCGCGATAAGGGATGCTTATTAACTTGTAATGGCCAGTGGTTGCACTGTGCCTTCACCACAAACTGATAAATGAAAATATGTGTGCGAGAAGAATAAGATTCAAGATCACAACTCAAAAAAGGCATTATATATGCATTAGCTACAGTACCTAATCTGTTTTGATTGCACTCGCCCAAGCAACTTACTGCTAGTTATTAAACAAAAAAATTCTGCTAGTGAAACAATACATCTGCTGGTCTAACAAAGCTCATGCATCAGCTCCTCCAAACACAGCTGTGAAACAAACACTACTAAAAGAACTTTCCATCCTTCATGACAACATTATCCATGCACGATTTTCCAACTTATCAATGGTGTGAAAGCTGAAAGCGTGCGAAGTGAGAATAGTGTTTAGGTTGTGTTAGTTTTAATGGAAAAAGTGCCAAAAACATTTCTGAGGGGGAAAAAAGCCCCGACTAAGTGGGAAAGTATATGGACAGAATCAGAAATTAAGGACTTCATAACCAAGAAAGCAATTAAACATTTAAAATCATAATGAGAAAATAAAGAACAACAAACAAAAATGATATGCATGATGTGAAAATCTTTAAATCTAGCCGCATCTGAAATCAGTATATGAACAAGTGGCTTTAGTGGCGCTTAGCAGACTTTTGGTGACAATGCAATGTCAAGCTAGCTTGCTTTCAATTTAGCATCTTTATTCTTCGTACTTTCTATCCGAAAGACTTTTCTCTGGAGTTCTCACTGCAAACTTCATACTTTCATACCAAGAAGAGTAGCACTTCCAGATACAGACCATGTAGTCTCAAGAAGATCAAACATGTGACTAAATTTATCTATGTTTCCCTCAGTTCCAACATTTCCAGATACAAACCATGTAATATCAAGAAACACTAATAGGTGAAGAAAATTTATTTATGAATCTCTCAGTTCAGACTTTAAACTTCAAGAGTACTGGAACAGCTATCCATCTTATACATCTCTTTCAAAACAATTCGATAGGCAATAGATAGCTATAACGCATAGTCCTGAAAACAGGATAAAAAACAACTTTGCTAAGACACGATCAAACAACAAACCAAACAACTTGAAACAAAAAAGATGAATTTCATAGCCATTTGCTTAAAGAATTGAGGTTTTCCCCGAAAAAGTGTCGCTATAGGTTAAAAGAATGCACAAGGTTAAAAGAACAATTCTCCAGCGCATGAACAACCCACAATTTAAAGCCTATGAGTAGAATATGAATGTAAAGGTGAGATGACTTTCTAGATTCACAGTTTCATAGTCCATATAAAGTCTCTAACATAATTAGTTAAGTCAACCACTGGGATGATCCACAACGATTTACGCTGACATTACTGGCAATTCTGACTATGTCAAGTTGGCATTGTACCAGAAGTTGCAACATTACTGGAATAGCCTTCTAAAACATGCATGGAAATGTAGCCAATATCTCTTAACTGTTAGCTGGACAGAAAAAATAAGAAAACCAATAACAATAGGCCTCAAGATGATGGTGAATGGATGATGATATAATGCTACATCTGTTGATATAACAGAGTGTTGTTATATATCATTGTTTACATTGAAAAGTTGCTTACCATAAAAGTATGTGTGTCGGGCACTTACATTAGCTGGTAGTTTTCATCAGTATGACCAAATATTTTAATATCATTCAAATAAAAGACAATGTCCACTTAGTTGCAATTATATAATATACAAGGATCATAATAATGTCTAAAGTTTCTCTATTTTTCATGGTTTAGCAAGATCTCTAGAATTTGATTTGCATCAAACATTGAGACCACAAGAGGTAAGCTCAATTTGAAATGGCCAAACTGTTCCATTTTGGTCTATCTATAGATCTCAATATAAATATCAAAACTTCAAGAATCATAGACAAATTTAACCCACAGAAATGAAATAATGCATTTATGAGTACAACTAGACATCCAAAACTAACGGGGTAGTTTTGAAAAACATTTACATGGAAGAGGAGTTGAGATTTAAAATAGAGATCACATGTCATGCTAGTAATTGTGCACTTGACTAACTACCCTCTACATTTCCTATCACTGTCAATGTTTTTGTAGTTATAACGTTTCGTGAGAAAAATAACATGCAGGTTACAATATATATTTTAATTATCATTACAAGATGAATGTATATGTAACACTTCAAATAAAGACTTGAAAGATAAAATATCACTAGCTTCTTTGAACCCATCAGATACATTCTCCTATATTTATTATAAGCAAATGTTAGCAGTAGATTCTTTAAGGAGAATAATCCATAAGAAATATGCAAGCCTTTAAAAAAAACAAGATGCAACCCATAGATGTAGATTAAAGCATAAGAACAAAAAACTTAAGGCGAACAGAGGAAACAACTAACCTCAAACTCGTCATTGCTGTTAATCATTTGCTTATGTAAAAAGTCGCTTTTCATTTCATTGGCTGCATCAAAACAGATTTCGCCATTCTTATGTGATTCAGGAACTCCCATTGTAAGGGCTGAAATCAGTTCTTCAAGAATGGAAAAAGTGGATTTTCCTTGCACCAATTCCTTATCCTTGTCCAAAGAAGACAGTTCATTGATTTTCTCTTCTAAAAGACAGCTTAATTCATCTCCTCTCAAAGCCATTTCCTTCAGAACTGATGAGCTTCCTCTCTTTGCGTCTGACATCAATTTTTTGGAGCGGCAAGCATCACGCCTCAGTTCACCATGGCTTCTCCTCACTTGAGCCATTTCTTCATGAGTTGTAGACCTGGAATTTTGCCTCATCGGAGAATTAAATGTAAAAGAAACTATACTGTCGTTGTTACTCGTAGTGGAATTGTCACAATCCATCTTTGACGAGTTACTCTTTATGCGACTTCCTTTGCCGGGCTGATTACTAGTGGCTCCAGTCCCTTTTCTGCTCATTACATTACTAATAACACATTTTTCCTTGACAAAGTTCCCGTTGTAATTTTCTAAATTACTATAGGTTTGACTTCTTTTCCGAGCCAAGTTCTTTTCCAAACCATTCCTCTCCGACTCAGTTCTACAACTTCCAGATACCTTTGTTGGTGACCTCGACCGAGTATAATTGTTGAGATTCTTGTTCATGGCTACAAAATTCTTGGCCCTATTAAACTGATTTACCTTCGTCTCAGTTCGGACCGATGTATCTCTAACTAGTAACAATTGACTATGCCTCGGGTTGTTGTTTCTAAGAACAGGCTTTCCGTATTGATCTCCAACACTCGCCAAAATTTTCTTACTTCCTATTTGATTGTTAGCTCTACTCTCGACATTGAGTTTGGCTTTTGTGACTGGAGATCTATTATTTATATCTCTATTAGGAACAACCCGTGATTTCTTCATCTTACACACCTCCTCGGCCTTGAGCATAGGTTGAATGGGTACTAAACCATTTTTGCTTTGCCCACTAAGCACAACTGATGGTTTTATCTTCTTCCTCTCTTCATACCCGCTACTTAACTCCGAGCTAGAAGCCCCACACTCAGAAACCAAACTCTCTTTTAGTCCTAACGAACTCTCATTTATCTTGGAAGAACCAGCAACAAAATCATGCGATCTTTTCTGATCTCCCTCTCTATTTTCTTCCCAGGACCGAATATAAGTAATTTGCTTAGCCCCATTCCTTTTTGATTGCAACCCGGGCTCCAAAATCCTATTAGCAACATGAACAAACCGTGATGCGCTACTCCTGGAATTCAACCGTGGGCTCTTAACGGGCACCTCAAGTTTCATATGGTGTTTCTTCTTCGACCCATAAATCAAACCCTTGTGCAAAGCCTCAACCGGAAACCTCTCTAAAAACCCTCCTCTACTCTTCTGCAAATTGCTCTCAGAAACCAGACACAGCCCTTGATCAAGCCGAGAATGCCCACCACTATCACTACAAAACTTAGAGTCCAATGCTTTTCTCGGCTTCTCAGCGTCAACAACAGGCATTGACTCAAGCCCCATGAGTCTAGCGACTACCCCAGGGGCCTGCATTTGGCTTTCAAGATCTGGGTCAGGCTCAGATTCAAGCTTTGGGAATCCTCCTCTGTTCTCTTCAGCAATCTAACAATGGGTTATGAGCAACACAATTGTGAGAACAAAAATCGACCCATCTCATTTTAATCCGATAAAATTAGTGGGCTTACCAGAAATAGCTTGACGGTGGGCATCTTGTCGTCGGCGGCGAAGTTTTTTACTGAAAGAGGGTCGAAATAAAAATGGTATATAAAATTGGGTGTTGTAATAAAAAAAGTTAGAGATTGAGGGGCTTTGGTAAAATTTACCTGGAGGAAGGAGCTTCTTAGTTTTAGAGAAGAGCTTCTTCTTGGAGAAGAGCTGGAAGATGATGCCGACGCAGCCGGCATTCTGCTGCTGCGGCCGGTTCTCGGCGACGGCGAGGCTCATTTTGCAAATAACCCCCTAAACTTTCTGAGAATTAGAAGAGAGAATTATAAGAGACGGGGCTCTCCATTTCTCTACGCAAAAGATTGGAGATTTTGGGGAAAAGGATTCTGTGGGTTGAAGGGCAAGCGACCGCGTTTCTGTGATCTGCACTCTTTTTACACTTTTTACAGTCTTTTTTTGCAGAGAAGGACAGATGAATAGTCAACATGTGATGGATGGATGTCTGGTTGGCATTTTATTATTCTCTGGATGTTTTTGCATAATATAATGGGTAACTTGCTAGTAGACCCCTATTAATTAGAGTTTGTTGCATATAGCGATAGTCTAATCGGGAGAGGGTTAGAATTGTAAGAGCATCTCCAACAGCTTCCCCATCTTCTTGGTATTCTAAAATTTGGAGAATTTTGAGCTTTTTTTGGTCCAACAGATTCCCCATCTCATTCCCCAAAATAGGGATAGGAGAGAAAAAATAGAGAGCCTTCCCCAAATCTGCAGCATTCTGCAAATATTTGGGGAAGCACTTTTTCACGTTCTTCTAGACTCAACCCACAAAAAACAACTCCATCTCCTCATTATAATAATAAATAATTTGGTCAAAATGGGGATTCTTCAAAATAATAAATAATTTATTATTTATTAGTCAAAGATGTAGAATATTTTTATTATTGTAATAAATGCATGATTCTTCAAAATGGGGAAGCTGTTGGAGTTGGAGCAAAAATAATTTGGAGAATATGACATTTGATTCCCCATTTTGGAGAAATTTTTGGGGAAGTTGTTGGAGATGCTCTAAGGGACCACCTGATATTGTACGGGTTAGAGTGATATCGCTGGAGCTTATAATAAGTTTCTTATAAAAACAGCTTATAAAAGCAACTTATATAAACTGCTGAAAGTAACAGTTTGGTAATTAATATATAAAAAACTACTAAAAAAGTAGTTGTGTTTGGTAGAACTATACTTAATAATAACTGTTAAATGATATAAGGAATATATGTCATATAAACCAAAAAAACAAAAGCTATTTTAAAAAAACATTCTCGGGTTGTTTTTAAAAGCATACTCTATCAAAGTAGAAGCGGTTTTAATAAGCAAGCCAAAAAAGATTTTTACTAAATATCATTATTGACTGCTTCTAGAAAGAAAAAAACAAGCAGACGCCTGTCTTCAATTGTTGTGAGGTTTTGGGTGAAAATTATCCAAAACCTAGTACTTGATGAATTTCATAGTTTTTAAATTTTGAGGGTAGTTTAAGGCATATTGATCATTTGGGGGTATGTAGCGAAAAAGCCCATAACCTGATTGAGAGAGGGGCATTGTCGTGAGGAGATGATGCTATGAGATAACATATTTCAACTTGTATTTTTATATATCACCTTTAAGTTTCAATTTTAGTTTATAAATATATTCTTCTTTAATTTGATGGGAAAAATGTGTCCAGGCCCCAAAAGTGGGAACTTCGTGTGACTAGCCCCCCTGTACTTTGCCCCACGGTTGTTTAGGTCTGACAATAAAATTTTCATTTTCCAGATGCTGCCTCTTCCTGTGTCTTACGGCGATATACGCCGGTCTTCGCTGTAGTCCTGGACCGATACGCTCCGCTTCAATTATCACAATGATCGTTGCCATATGCTCCTCTGTCCTGTATGTGGCCATATTGCTCCGTGGTGTCGCATATCGGTGACAATGATGTCGCATATGCTCCTCTGGGTCCATAATTACAATATGTTGCATATGGCTCCTCTTCCTTATTACACTATCATCAACCTTAGTAGTCTACGAGTCTGGGTCAGAGCGGTGACGCGTATATACCCCCTGCCCGCTGTGGAAGAATACTGGTCCTCTTCTATTGGCCTCATCGTCAGCAGAAGATGCTTACATCCGTCTTCAACAAGTCTTAGGGTCAGCATGTTCGTTGACTGGTGGGGCTCTCTATTATACACTGCTTGTTTTGGGACTTGCTGATTCTCTTGAGGCGTCGCCTGGTCGCTTCGTTCCGGTAGATTTTCGATTTGCAGATGTTTCTGTGGTTGGATACTTTGACTTAAGCAGCACGTGGTCGGTATAACGCTCATCACGTGGTCTTTCCACATTTTTCAGCATTGTTCGGCTTTTAAGCCTGTTGATCGTTCAATCGATGAATTCTGGTAGAAATAAGATTGGCTCTTGGTCTGCGTTATGTAGCAATGCAGAGAAGTCGCTGAGAAATTTAGCAGAATTCTCCAAAACTGTGAGTTGCTGCTCAATGGGGAAAGAAGCATCTGATCGGCCTCGTGTCATGCGTGCAAAAGCAACGGGTGTCAATATGCTTTGCGCTATGATCTGTTGATTAGATGACAGAGGATGTTTGAATTTTAAGCTAGGAGTTAACATCTAATTCAGGATGATTCTGTTGCAGTTGAGTGTGAAACGTGGTACCGACTTAACAGTAACGGATACTTACGTAACCTATTGAAGATAGTTTTGAGTTAGTTTCTTCCTGCAGAAGTCTTGCCTCTTTGGCCTGAGGCTTGTTGCTGAAGAACTTCATCCCTTTGTTCAGCGGGGAAGTGGCATGGAACAGATGACCAAGGAGAGAGCGACCCCGGCAGATAGGCCTAATGGACAAATGTTATTGGACGCTGACTAGCCTTGAAATAAGTTGTCGCCATCCTCATAGATGCGATTCTCTCCTTCCGTAATGTCCCAATTTGTCAGTGGAGGTCTGGAGGTGTCTAAGAGGATATTTTTTTGATGCCTGGTCATCCTCGTATGTACCAAAGCTGTACCAAATAATATAGTTTAGCCATTAACATTTTAATACTAGACTAGACTAAAGGAGAAGAGAGAAGTATGGCTGCATCTAGAAGCGGTAGACATGGGTTGTAAATGTAGTACGTGTACGACATGGATATGATAGAGACTAACATGCCGTGATGATAAGAACTTAAGATGGGTGCAGATAGAGACTAACGACTCTACGAGAATAGGGAACGTAACACTCTAGCAGAATAGAATAGATCACTGTGCAGGATTAGAACCTAGACACTCTACGAGAATTAGAACTTAACATGGTGCAGAATAGGAACTAACCACTCTGACAAGGAATAGGAACTGAAGGCGGACTGTGCAGATAGAACGACACTCTCACGAGGAGTGAGGAGACTAACGACGTGTGTTAGTTCTATCTTCGGTGTAGAGTGGTTAGTTCTAATCCTGGCACAGTGGTTAGGTTCATTCGGCGGCGTGGGCGGAGATGGCTTAGCTGGTTCTGATTCTGCACGGTTAGTTCTAATCCTGTCTGTAGCGTGTGATTCTTGAATCTGCAGATTAGGAGAACTGGAGACACTCTACCAGAACGGAACTAACACTGTGCAGATTAGAGACTAACACGCTTACAGAATCAGAAGCTAACATAGAATAAGTGTAGAACTAACAATGCATAGGGTGACGAACTTAGAGATGAAACAAGATCAGTAAAATATGGAACTTAGCCACAGCAATAGGTGATCGATGGCAACCTGGGACATATGCGACCTTTTTGTTCTCTTGTCCTCCAAGAGGGCAACTCCAGATGGACCCCGGCGGGACGGTGGTAGATGTCTTCATTATAAGAAGAACGGGCCCATGCACAGAGATTGACCCTCTGAATGCGTAATCCAGTATCTGGAGTAAGGGTCTAGGGATACCTTCCCCTGCTATGGCGACTCCAGTGATCATAGAGCATTGGGTTACAAAATTTGGTAAGCAGAGCAAAATCCGTCGAGTATCCCGCTTTTTGGTAGATCAGACAGAGCCGTTCAACGTAGCCCTTCAAGAGTGTCTACGGTTGGCTGGTTTCTTGATTTTTTTAACTTCTTACCCTCTTCAGAACTATGAAAAAGCTTAGCGAAGTATTCCAAGCCATATGGTGGCGTGGTTGGTCGGTTGAGGTCGCGCGTATTGTTCCTTTAGTCCGCCGTGCGCGCGCAGGCGTTGAAGATGGGACGAGAGTAGAGTAGGTTGTGGAACCCATTGCAAACTCAAAGATCTAACATTTTTCATACCCCAACTTTGTTGAAGTCAGGTATACAAAGGTGTGGGTGATGGGCGGGAATCGGGTCGTGAATCGCGGTAAGTGAGCGACGGGAAGTGGGGCTCGGACAGCAGGCAGCCGACAACGGGGTGTCGGGGCCGAGGTCGCAGCGCGAGAGGCCCGGCAGGAGCGATGCGTAAGTGTAGTGCTGAGAAGTATGACGCCAGAGCCGCAGTATGGCAGGTCCCATGGGATGCCAGCTGACGGCGGCATCTGTCGCGCGTCGCAGAGGGCGCTTGCGAGTGTAAAATGCGGCGAGTATAGAGAGCCGGGGAGGGCCGTGGATAGGGGGCGGGTTGGCGCGTTAGTACCTTGGAGGTGGGGTTGGTCTGCTGAGCCTGTTAAGCAATTCGGTTGGTTCCTGCAAAAAATTTTGCGAATGTTTCGTACGTTCAATAGAGACATATGAAACAATATGTAGACCTAGCACTAACGGCGAACCAAAGATAGAGCGTAAACACGTGAATATTATTAGAACTAACATTGGACTCATATTAGGACTGGAACATTGGGACTTGAAAGACCTAGAATTAACGTTGGTATAAATTTAGAACTATAAATTGGACAAAGGCCTAGGAACGTAACAATATTGGGTTTAATCTGCATTGTCTCTTCGCGGGCGAGTATACATACAGCCGGTAGAAGCGTAAAATATTGGGTTAATCGTCGATTGTCGTGTTCGCAGTAGTAACGATAACAGCATTACTGTTTTTGTTGGAGGGGGGGTTCGTGTGGTCGAGGCCAGCCATTGTCGTTTCTCCTTTCTGGGTCTCGCGCGATTGTAGATGCCTCCTTTTGCATTTCGATTAGGGTTTTCGTAGCTTCCGTAGATTCCTCCGTGCGTGCCACCCGCAGATGAAGCGCCGTTTTCCTCTCGCAACTCGGCTGCGGTGCCCGGACGCTCGAGTCGGTTACTGATTGTTTCCGGTAGACCGAGCGAGCAGGTTTTGGTCCGGCGAAAGACCCTAGAAACGTTGGAAAATTCGACAGAGAATTAGGAAGATGAAGAGTTCTGTGGATGAGCCCGTGGGCGGTAGGGGAAGGAGAGAGGAGAGAGAGAAGAACGTAAAGTCGGCGCGGTGAGC